GTTCAGCAGTTCAGCCTGAGCTGTAACACCAAAGCTGTTCTTCCTCACAGCCTTTTTTTTTCTATTTTTAAAGCAGGTGCTCAAATGCAAATTCCAGGTCCCCTCCACAATTACTGTCCAGTAGAAGTGGCAAGAGCTGGTATTAATTTAAACCTAGTCTGGCAGCACCACAAGCACCTCTTTGGAAACATGCAAACAGCTTGAGCAACCTCTGCAGGGTATAGCATAAGGGCTGTCCTTTGGCCAGAACTTTCCCTTACATCTTTCCATCTGCTTTACATCCCCATGCCTTGATTTTTCCTTTCATATTTCTAATCTGCTCTGCTACTTTCTAGTTAAAAGATCCTTGACACAACTATTAGTATGGATTGTCCTTGATTGAGGGTAATTATAAGCCTCTTGAATTTCATGAGAAGTGAACCAGCTTGATTCTATTAAGACAGGGAAGTGAACTGAAGATCTAGGGCAATTTGGATTTTATCACTTTCTTTTTGTATCTGTACTTCTTTGGAAAACTGAGGTTTGTAAATGGAGTGTCCAAAGTACCATGTACAGGCCACTGATGTCCCCAAACTAAGGGAGACTTGGCTAACGTTTCCTTGCAGAAGATTCCACCATTCAGAGAACAACACATTCAAATTTCAGTGAAGCCTGGGTTACAGAGGTGCCTCAGGATGCACATTCTGCCTGCTGAATTCCCACATGGAACAGGGACATTCTGAACACATGAGAACTGGACTGTGGAGTTTGACTTGCGTTAGGGTCTTTAATGGCCACGTTAGTCCTCGTGGTGACATTTGTCATGTGGTTTGATATTTCTCAGATGGATTTATCAGGCTTTTATAGGTAACAAAGCCTGAAGTGAAGCTGTCTTTTGTGAGTTACTCACTCTGTGTGAGAGATACATAAATCTAAACATCACAGTTACTTTGCAGTACCATTTGCTCTAAGTGGTACAATTAAACGCATCTCTGCATTTAACTGAACACATAGAACATCGTGGGAGGGTCTGCTTTGTAAAATGTCTCTGTAAAATTCAAGTGTGTTATTTCTCTTCTAAAATATTTTTTTCTTCTGCTTGCAGTGAAAATAGAAAGGACGTCCAGGTTTTAAAGATGGGAAGATGCTGATATGGCAAATGGCCACTTGCAAGAAAACAAGAGGGACGGAGGCATTCCGAATGGAAACAATGCCTTAAATGTACCTTCTATGTAGCCTGTCTTAATAAATAAGCTTTCTTATGCAAAGAGAGTGCTGTTACTGTATTAAACCCAATGTTTATAAGCATAACCACAGTACACTTATAATCTGAACCGATTTATTTTCTCCTGCCAGACAGATGGTAGGGTAAGCAAGACATGTCCTGACTGTGTACCAATAGGGCAGTGATTTGGAGAAGGAAATGAGCAAGTACTCCATGCCATTCCCACAGCACCCCCTGGGAGCAAGGAGACCCAAGCATCTCTGCTGCAGGCAGTGATGGCAGCAGTGGCTGCTCATTGTTTCTGGGAGGATCTCAGCCCACAGGTGCCAAGGACCCCTGGGGAACCACCAGATGGGTTTGCTGTGGCAGCTACTGAACTTGTAACAGCAGCCTGACATACACCAAGCCTGTGCTCTGGGTTCCATACCTGCAGGTCCTGCCAGGGGAGGGTAGTGACCTGGGCACCTTCTGCTCCTGCCCCAAGTAAGGGCTGTTTGGGAACGCAGGAGGGGCAGCCAGGGGTTGTGTCCTGCCCCCCAGGTCCCCAGTCCTCTGGGCTCTGCTCCCTGAGGCGCAGCCAGGGCAGCCGTGCCCCCTCATTCCTGGGTCCCCAGCATCATTGCCCCGGGCTGGCACCCAAGGGCCACTTCCCATGGCAAATTTCAAAGCAAAACTGGAAAACTCAAGACTCTTGTAAAAGGGGTGCACTCTGGAGGCCAGGTGGAGATTCCTGCAGGGAGTGTATACAAGCACCAGGGGTCTGTCTGT